CCAGGAACAGTTATTACAGGCTATGATGTATTTAATGAAGGTAGGTTTAGATTAACTGGACATATCTCCATTAACCCAGGAACAGTTATTACGGGCTATGTAATAACACCCAACAAAGTTTCATACAAGTTTGACAAGTTTTTGACAAGTTTTAATCGATCTCTTACCGCTAACCAATTACATTTTGGCGCTTCACTTTAATGCTTCAATATCGTTACATTGATGTACGTACTCTGCCTATCCAAACATCAAGGTGAAGCGCTGACATCTAATTGGTTAGCCGTAGAGAGCACAATTAAAGCTTGTCAAAAACTTGTATGAAACTTTGTTGGGTGTTCACAGTTCGACATGCACTGTAAAACTATCAAACTCTTTCACTCTTTCATTTGTTAGGTTTTTTCACTCTTTCATCTTGATAATCTGATTGAAGGATAGGTAACAAACATATTACATATTTTTTTCCAGAATGACAGTGATTTTATTAGGAAACTTCATGAAGCCTACTTGAAGAGTTTACATGAACTGTTACCGACATAAATAACAATCATGACTGAAGATAGGAAATATCTTGGCTCATTACACACGATACAGATGACCAATGTGGATAATRTGGGGGAATTTCTGGTAAAAGTATGGGGATGTTTGTTGTGTTTGAGGGATTTAAGTTAGTGATTTGGTATCTTTTAGGATATTGAAAGTGAAATTTAGAAATTTTTAGCATGCCAAACAAGAAAATCCATGAACTATATTTAACTCTCATTAAATTAGGTAAATTGTGTAATAGACCTCCTAGGCTTTGCGTAATGTTTTCCCATTTCAGACCACGTGTCATTCCCTTAAGAATAAGATTCTTTGTTTGAGTTATATCCATATTCATGTGTCTTCTCATGTGCAACCGAGTGCAAACCTTAAACAAAGAAATGATACTCTAGGGAATGACACGTGGTCTGAAATGGGAAAACATGTCAGAGCCGAAGAGGTCTATTTATAGATGGAGGGCCATTAAATAAAGTTGATTGATTGATATAATGTATAATGCTCAGGAAACAAGCCAACTCAGCCATTCCACATTAGCAAAGGAATTAAATGTGGTATCTTTTAGGGTTTAAAAATCTATGAAGCCACGCCCATTTAAAAAGTTCCATATTTTAGGCGTATGATTTTTAGAAAATTTCCAATGAACATCCCTGATACTTTTACCACTGCGTCCCCCTCTGGATATGGATGTATCCTGTCTTTGTACAAACCATTACATTCAAGAAGGCACCAGGGAAGGCAGAAGGCATCGTTTTTGTATGAGTAGGAAAAAAAGACAGCAAATTCATAGTCTTTCTGGAGCTGTAGGAGTGCATTCCGTTATAGGGCTTTTTTGATGGACACTTTTTTAGACAGATGTCAGTTTATGCATCAAAAAACGATAGAAATTTAATAATTAACTCAACAATTAAGGTTTCCTATCTAACTTTTCACTATCATCAAGCAAAAAAGAACGCCATATAAACCAGCCCAATCATGCAATGCACTTTTGTTGGAAAAATTGGAAACCAATATCTTGGTCCAAAGCAATTTCATTGTTACAGTTAAAGTATAGATCATGCTGTAACCCTATATTAACATGGGAGGATAATCCTAGAACTATGAGCTTTGCAGGTGAATCAACTTTCATTGGACCATCAATGTGTTTTGAAATAGGTTTATAGACCTTCCACACCCATTTTCTTTTGTTGTCCATCGGTTTTGATTTTTCAATTAAGACCTACATTCTAAAAGTCGGTCTTACCGATGGGGAACGAAAGAAAATGGGTGTGGTGGTCTATAAACAACCTAAAAACTGCTTGCTTGGTCTTCATTGAAATTCAAGACCTTGGGCAATTCCTTCGGTCTTGAATTTCAATAGAAGACCTCGCACTTGGTTTTTAACCCGTAACGTATTAATTTTATTACTTTCTGTTTCTATGCACATTGACAGGCTTCCTTATGGTACTAGGATATTCCTAGCAGTAGAATCTTCCTGTTTCTCAGATAGGAAGTAATATTTCAAAGCCAACAATGAGGACTGGACGGGATTTCAAGTCCAAGCAATTAGTTCCAGTCCGAGGCGCAGCCAAGGACTGGAACTAATTGCGTGGACTTGAAATCCCGACCAGTCCGATATTGGAGGCTTTGAAATGACTTCTCATCTCATTAATTATTCGACTTGGAGTAACTGGAACAAAATTAATTCAGTCCTAGGACTGAATTAATTTTGTTCCAGTTACTCCAGACTGAATTAATTTTGTTCCAGTTACTCCAGACTGAATTAATTTTGTTCCAGTTACTAGAGAATGAATTCAGTCCTTTCACATGACTTTACCAGGTTTCTAGTAACATCATGTGACCTAAAAATAGCCCATTGATTGGCTTTTTCCTCATGAATTATTAATTAGTATGAGAAGGTTCTAGCATGAGGGATAAAATTCACACCTTATTCCCCATATGAACTGAACAGTCACATGGTTAATTCACCTGCAAGTACGATCCTAAGTTCTAGGATTCATTCTCCTTCCAGTAAATATGGCCTGAAGAGTATAATAAAATTTGCAGAAGTTGTCTCCATTGTTGAAGTTGCATTCTCCAATAGTTAAAAACTTAAGATAGATGATTGTTGGAATATGGGTAGATTTAGGATTGGGCCAAAGGGGCCACACCCATCCCCCCTTAATTTAGTTTGGTCACAAAGATTCCTTTTTAATGTGAAAGTTTTTCAGCTCTCCCTTTCTATGATTTATAGGCAGAGCAGTTTCTCTAATGCTGATTTTTTTCAGCTGCTTTCTCCAAAGGCTTAATAGATTAATTATTTTCCACATTGTGTAGTTCCAAAAATTATCCATATCCTCCTCACGGAGGAATTTTTTTAAGACACCCCCCAACCCCCCCTGGAAATTCCAATTTTCTTCCATACAAACTCTATAATTTTTGTTCTTTCTCTGACCCCCCCTACTCTTCGGAAATTCCAAATTCCTCTGTGGGGTGGGTATAGATGATTTCTGGAACTACACATTAAGTATTAGAGTCCTATTGCTCTAGCCTTCAATATTAAGTGCACAATCACATCCATTTGCCAAGTAACTCACAATCATATGGTTTAATCACAAGACGTACACTATACCAAGATATTTCTAAGGAAGAAAGTTCAGTTTTTATCATTTTTTATGTCAGGAAAATGTTTTGCCTTAGATGTTAAGTGTATTTTAACCACAAGATATTTTATTTCTTGTACAATAGTATGAAGAAAAGGCTGATGAATAAGCTGTGCAGTAGGTAGTTTTTGATAGAAGTAGCATGAAATATGGCTATAGAGGTTTTGCATCATTAGATGGCAAGAACAATACAATCGTTTTACATGAGAAAGACATTAGGTTCCCCAAAGCAAAGAGATTTTATTGTTCTGCCATCTAACCACAAGCAGCTCAATCTGTATTATGACCTGTTATCAGGGCACCGGAACGTGATGGTGTAAAAGCTCTAGTCAATTTACTTTCTGATTAGATGAGTGTGTATGTGAAAACTTGCAAAAAAATAAAAAAGCTTTCTGTAACCACACACTGGTAATAACATTAAGGATTTCCATTGGACTCCCTTTTCAGGCCATAAATAGTACTGAATAGCGCTATAAATCATGCTAATTCTGTGCCAATGGATCTTTCTTGATGTAAAGAAAGTTTCTAATTTGTATTCTAGTTTAGGGTTTTTTGGGTTGGGCATTTTGAGGGTTAAAATAAAATGGCCGGTTTTTGAATTTTGCCCCCCCCTTTCGGAAAAACCATGCACTATGTGGGTGAATATTCTTGGACCTAAGCCTATTAATCTCATAGCAGGTAATGATAGACAGTTTTCTCAAGGTTGGGTGAGTATGCAATCTTTACGGGTCACAAAACTAAAAAAATGCAAGAAGCCAGTTTTATACTTAAAGAGGAGAATAATCGATTTGATGAATTCTTATCAATTTTTTTTTTATAGCAATGCATGATAATACTCATCATAAAGCTCGTATTCTGCTATTGCGGCCCATAAAGTTTCTTAAATTTGGATGTACACACAACCTATCGCTCTATTCGTATTTTTTTATTTTGTTTTCAAATCAACAATCCTTCTTACGTCCCTGAGACATACAACTTTAAATTCAAACTTAAGACAAGTTTCAGTTGCATAAAAAGAAAACATTCTTACTCTTATGTAATATTCTCACCAAGAAATTTGTACAAAGCTGAGCATGTTTATACGAAATTTCATTAGACCCGTCTCAGTACCAGTACTGGTTTTGCACCATCATGTGCTGGTAGCCATGTTAGATGGCAGAACAATAAAACTCCTTTACTCTGGAATTGAAATATATTTCTCATGTAAAATGATAGCATTTTTCCTGCCATCTAAGATAGTTCTCCCACGTGATCCAAAACCTATAAACACCTTATTAATGTATGGAAACTAGTCGTATTTTTCCCCAGGGAGTTCTCCCATATATGGACTATACGGGGATGATCCGCTAAACAGGGTATGGTTTTTCGAGCTTCTTGTCATAAACAGGGTATGCAATTTCACTCAAGTTCCAAGTTCTTCCTGAGTTTCCTGTCATATTCAGGGTTTCTACTTTCATATTGACCAAAACTGGTCATTATGGTCCACAAAAAAACGATACGCAAGATGACATGATAATTGAAACAGGAACTCAGTGCAATTAATTATATCTTTTGTCATAAACAGGGTCTAAAAATTTGAGTTTCTTTGTCATAAACAGGGTACCTGTTTCAGAATCCCAGCAGAACACCCCTACCCAAATCCGGGCTGAGTACCCCCCCTCTGGGTTTTTACCCTACAAGCCGAGGTTTATTCTCTTTCTGCCTGGCGGAGCCTACCTTGGGCTCCATAGTTTCTATTTCACTTCAAGTATGCTTAGACGAGCACCTTAAATGCTGCAGCGAGAATAAATGACTTTTGTAGGAAAAGAAAAAATCTCTGCTCAAAGTGTAAGTTGTATTACATGTAAGTTATATTACAATAAACAAAAACAAAAAGTTCTGAATGCAAGAACAAAATAGATTTCTAGATAAAATATTATATATAATTTCATTTTTTGCCTGGACATACTTTATATTTCACCAAAGACCTACAAAGTTGAGACCACTCAGGACCATGGGAAGCACAATTTCATATTAAACAAGTAAAGCTTTTGATACAAACTGGAGCTTGATGATACTCAAAGGCGATAAAAATATAATGCGGTTTACTGTAAAGATCATATCAAGTCCATCAATAGTTATCAAGCTGTTGAAACATGTAAAATATATCTACCCACAATCCTTGCTGGTCTCAGCTTCATAGCTTTTCAGTTGACCAACGTTTTTGAAATACATGTATACAAAATAAGCGTATGGTGAACACAGACATAAGAAAGCCCTAATACAGTTTCCAGGAAGGGCAAATATTCTTCTTAAATTTAATAAAACCACTGGCCTCCCAAGCATCTTCAAGTGAGATGAAAACCATGTCATTAATACTAAGCAAATAATTTTTAGTAAGCATTTAATATCTGTGCAACGAGGACTTAATGGCCTGGAATTTTGAAGCCCTTTTAAAACTTTTAATGTAATAGTCATATATGATAATGAGTGAGTGACTAACAAGTGCCACTAATTGTAACTTACTAGCTTCAACACTGCTAGCTGTTCCTTTACAGGATTAAAAATAACTGACAGTCAGTTGCCTGCAATGATGCCCAGGGGGTGTACTCGGGTGGGTAACATGACGGGGAAGTCCGAAGTATTTTTTTGGGGTTGACAATTTTCATTCCCGGTATTTTTTTGGGTCAAGAGACCAGCCACATATTTTTTAGGTCTCAAAATGAAACCTGTATTTTTTTGGGTCGTCACATCTCCGAGTTCAATTTTTGTATCAGAAAACATTTTTTCCAGCAAGGCGTGAGTGAGTTCCGTAAAGAAACGTACTGATGCCATGTATTTTTT